CCCATACTGCTTCCAAAACGACATGCCGTGACTTCATCAATGATTTTGTTCTACCATCACAAGTTCCTACACGCTGGACCACAAAGTCTTCTTGCCACGATTCGGCAAAGATTTTGGCCGATCGGTGGACGAAAAACAGTTGCAGCCATTGTCAGCAAGTGCGTACGATGTTTTCGTCTGAAGCCAAAGTTGTGCGAGCATATCATGGCTCCATTGCCAGCCGATCGTGTGCAGCCAAATCGCCCATTTCTCATCACAGGAGTCGATTTTTGTGGCCCATTTTATTGCAAATCTGAAGTGAGAAACAGGCCTGCATCCAAATGCTACATCTCAATTTTTGTTTGCTTCACCACTAAGGCAACACATTTGGAAGTGGTTGAAGACCTCTCTACGTCATCATTCATCGCTGCTCTTAAACGATTCGTTAGTATCAGAGGAAAACCAAATACAATTTGGTCAGACAACGCAACAAACTTTGTTGGTGCAAAGAATGAGCTCAAGGAACTTCGTCAACTCTTCCTCAGTGATCCGCAAACCAAGGATTTCAACAACGCCCTTTCCTCAATCGGTGTAAAATGGCATTTTATCCCACCTCGCTCTCCTCACTTTGGTGGATTATGGGAGGCGGCTGTAAAATCGGCCAAATTTCATTTTTATCGATTCGTTGGAAAAACGATCCTGACCTTTCATGAACTGCGCACTCTTGTTTGTGAAATCTCTGCTATGCTAAACTCACGACCTCTCTGTCCAATTACAGAAAATCCTAGCGACTTAGATGTTTTGACTCCTGGTCACTTTTTGATTGGGTCAACCTTTGCTACCTTCGATGAGCCTGACGTCACGCATTTGGACCTTAATCGTCTTGGTCGATGGCAACGCGTCTGCCAAATTCAGCAAAACTTTTGGCGAAAGTGGAGCTCCAATTACCTCTCTCTTCTTCAAGAGAGTGGCAAGTGGTGCAAGGTCGTTCGAAATCTGGAGCCAAACAACATTGTCGTCATCAAAGAAGACAACCTTCCTCCACTTCAATGGCGATTGGGAAGAATTGAAGAAACCATTCCTGGCGAAGATGGAAGCGTGCGTGTTGCCATAATACGCACTTCTACTGGACTAATCAAGAGAGCCGTCAACAAGATTGCTGTTCTGTCCGTCGATACCACTTCGGTTGAAAGGATGCCTCTTCCAACGGGGGGAGCATGTCGGGAGCAGAACTAGCGATCTATTTAATTTCTCTAAAACATTTATACTTTTGCCAATTTAAACTTTAACGTAAATCACATTTTCAAATAATCTTTCTTGCCCACTGTAATCGGTCACTTCTTGCACATATTAGCTTTCAATTATCTCACTATTTTATTATCGCTTTCTTCTTTAACGAGCTTTTGCGCATGCTCAGCTTCTTACGCTTTTGCTTTGGACTCTTCAAGTCAGTCGTAAGTCGTTCTTCGTTTGTTCTAATCTGTCTCTCGCGACACTTACATTCTAAGCGCACTTAACTAATGCTGTATGTATAATAAACAAAATCGTTAATAAATTAAATAAGAATTATACAATATCGTTTGTACTAATTTGATATTAATTATTAAAAAGGGCTGTCAAACCAGTCAGTCCTCGTAACATGCTGTTTTAATGATATCTCTAGGAATATGGGAAATAATAAGTATTTCGTTACAATCTGATTTCAACAAGGTCGAAGTTTTATTGTTCAACAATTTTAGAATTTACATGAAATTCGTGTTTCAATAATTTGGAGTAAAAAATGCCTAGTCTTGTAGGTTGCACACCGAGTTCTATGTATTCAGTGTATTCCGAGAATGTTGCAAATTTAATATTAAAACTTCTAGTCTTTGATAACCTTCATAAATTGCGCTTAAATGATTTAGTACTTCAATATTTCAATTTCTAATTTTTCTGTTAAATATTGTATAGGGGCTATACTGCTATATTCTTTAGCTTGTTTAATTAAATCGTTAAAAGTTTACTTTAGGTTTTGACCACGGATGATTCGGACAAAAAATATTATGAAGGGTATTGTGGATTAACTGTTTAATTAGGTTCCATTTGGGTTTCGGGTGTTCAGCTAGAATTATATTTACTTTTATTAATTTTCTTTTGTTTCTTGAATTTAGATTTGTAATGATCAATTTTTCTTTCTCTATTAGTTTCTTCGTAATGTTTGTCATCTGTTTGTTTTATTTGCTCTGTTTTCCTAAAAGGGTTAGTAGTTTTACTCTTAACTAAAATCTTCAGCTTATCTATTCTATTGATAAGGGTGTTCCTGCTTAAATGTTAGTTTTATAATTATAGACATAGAGTAGTTTCAAATTTTGTGAATTTAATTATACTATTTATGATTCTTAACTTTTCGTTGATAGTTTTATGGAACGTTTCAATGTCAGAAATTCCATTTTTTCTTGTTGTGACATTTATATCACATTTTCAGACTTTAGCCATAAGTGTAATGCAGCACACATGAATGCAGAATCTTTATCGGCTTTTATTTCGGACGGTTTTCCTATGACATTAAAGATTTTGAGTAAAGCTCTTTTTGCCTTAATCCAGTCTCTAGAGCTGACTTCAATTAAGGCGGCGTATTTGGAGTAAATGTCAATGCATGACAAAAATGTTTTATTGTCGTTTAAATAAAAATCGATAACATATTTTTCTCTGGGATTGAAAACTTGTGGAGTTTTGTGTCTCTATATTCTGTTTTGCACATGTTACATACTTCGCATTCATTAATAATTTTCTGTATTAACTTTTGGTAATCTGGGTAGTAATATTTTTCTTTGAAAGTGGTTGCTCTCATACCTTTAGTTATATTGTTCGGATTGACAATTTCTATGTAGGCGTTTTGAAATGTAATGAAATTGGTTTCGATGTGAATGTAAATTATGCTATTCTTTGTGCACAAATATTATTTTATTAATTCTTTGGCATCGGCATTCGTCATTTCTTCATAATGAATTTTAAGTTTTGTTTTGTGGAAGTATTTTAGTGTTTCTGTATTATTATTATTATCTTTAATAAATTCTATTTGCCTATATAGTAATTTATTGGTTTTTCCGTTACGAGAATATAAGATTGGTTGTCATCTGCTTGTGTTGGTAACGAGATTTCACTGGAAGTTTCTCCTAAGAGATTTTCTTCAATTTTTACTCTAGAGCATCGACTACATGATTTTCCATTACCTGAGAGATATATTATGTGGTGATCAAACTCATTTAATCTGATTTTCCACCTTTGAAGTTTCATATTTGGATTCTTTATTGAATCGAGCCATACTAACGGCTTGTGATCGCTTAAGATCTCAAACTTTCTACCAAAGAGATAGGACCTGAAATATTTAGTGGCCCAAACGACTGCAAGGAGTTCTTTCTCTATTGCGGAATAATTAAGTTCATGCTCGTTTAGAGTTCTACTTGCAAAGCATATGGGTTTATGCTTTTGCGACAGTACCACGCCTACAGCAAAATTGGTGGCGTCAGTAGTTAATGAAAAAGGCTTTTTAAAGTCAGGATGTGTGAGTATTGGATCGGACGTTATTAAAAGTTTTAGTTTATCAAAAGCTAAGTTATAAAGCTCCCGAAGTTGGGAATACATTTTCTGTAAAATCCGCAATGACCAAGAAATGATTTTATTTCTTTGGTATAGGGAAGTTTAGTTTTTATTGGGTTTGGTCTGATGCAGGTGAATTTTTTAATCCAAATGGCATCCAAGTATATTCGAAATGGCCATTTTTAGTGGAAGAGGATGTCTTCGCTATGGAATTTTCATCCATTTGTATTTGATGAAAACCTTTTGCTAGGTCAATGGTAGTGAAATATTGGCAATTACCAAGCTTGTCTAATATTTCATCCATTACTGGTATAGGGTATTTGTCGTCAACGGTTATATCGTTGAGGTTGCGATAGTCAATGACTATGCGAAATATTGCCTTTCCCGATGCGTCTTCTTTTTTGGTACTACCCAAATAGGAGAGCAATACGGAGACTTGGACTGTCTTATGATGCCTTGTCGCATAATGTCTTTCATTTGTTTTTCGACTTCTTCATCGAAACTTTGGGGGTATTTATAAGGCCTTTTATATATTGGGTCCTCACATTTTGTAGTTATTGAATGTTTTATTGTTCTAGTGAAGGTCAAATTTTCACCCTCCTTGTACTGAATATCTTTAAACTCATGCAAATCCTTTGTGAGGGCTATTTCCTCTTTGTTGTTTAAATGGTCAAATCTGAATTCATTAAATTCCCTTAACTCATTTTGTAACGAGAAGTTAAATTCTGTATTATTTTGTCGATGGCGGATCTTTACTTAAAAAATGCTTTATGAAGTTATGCCTATTTAAGTTAACGGTTTGTTCTGCATAGCCTATGGTAACTTATGTAATTACCGCTTTATTTAATTAAGAGATACAATGGAAAGTTAATTTGATGCCGTAAGCTTGTTGCGCGGCAAGGCTGAAGTCGAGAGTGACCAGTCTGACGATATCAGAAGATATCGTCCTCCAGGAAAGGTCTTGGCGTTAGTACTTGTTTACGTCGTGTTGCCAGACTGGGCATTAGTCTGGGCGCCACATCTACTCCCCCTCCAGTGACTTCGCCAGGTGATGAAGGTAACGGTATAAATTGTGGAGCTGCAGGTGCAGGGCTCGGTGGCGTAGGTGACTGTGAAATCTGTTGGACAGGCGGTGGATCCTCGTGGTGGTCTTCGCAAGCGTCAGCTTCAGCTAAGAAGGCAGGCTTGAGGAGGTCGACTGATATGGCCTTCTCTTGTCCATGAATGCTGATGATGTAGAACTTGTCATCAACCCGGCGTATTACCCGATGAGGCCCCGTGTAAGGCGGCTCGAGTGGTTTTTTAACAGATGCCACTCGCTTGAAGACGTGTGTACAAGATCTCAGGTCCCTACAAATGAAAACAGGTGGTTTAGCGTGATGCGCTGCAGGAGCAGCCCGACTGATATGTTGACGTAGTTGAGTCGGTGATCCTTGCTGAAGGCGGTTGGGGGGATGTCTAGGTAGCTCCAGGACCCTCAAACGCTGCCTTAGTGTGCCAATAATCCGGACTCCGACGGCGGGCAAATCGGGAAAGACCCCGATGACCACACGAACAGCCGCAGCGGCTGCTCTGGCGGCCAGGGAGCACGAACAGACGCCCAAGAAGAGCCAACAGGTGGTGGATATCCAGATGCCGAATGCTCCATCCATCGATTGCTTCGGTGGTACATATACGATCCCAACCCAATTCCAGGGAGGTTTCCCCGGCTCCCGTCTTCAATATATTCACACCTCGATCCAGAAGGTACTCGGCCAGCTATAGCCCACTGACCACGGCAGCCAATGGAGCTACCCTCTGCCTCACTCCGCGGGTTTCCCAGCTGAGGCAGGAGGAATGCGCAGACCTGAACAGCCGGGAGGTGAACCATGAGCGGGAAGTTCATCGGGAAATACAAATCTCGCAGAGCTGGGAGGACCTGACGCTGGTGGCCGAGAACTGGTTGTGCAAATCGGACGAGTTCTCCAATCCCCTGCAGGTCAGCCTGCCACCCACCGGCACTACCAGCTGTTCCAGTCCCAGTCCCACAAACAATCGCGCGGGCATGAGACTACCATACTCCCCGTTGCCCACGAGACGCACGTTTGCCACCAGGAGGTCGATGTCTCCCATTGCCATGAGGCCATCTCAGCTGGGACCCGTGAAAAGAAAATTTGAGTTGGACGATAATCCCACTCCGGGCAGCAATTTGAGCATGTACTCTCCTCCGCCTGTGAAGAAAACTTGTAGAACAACTTGTAGAACAAGGGATGTGGTTCGAGGAAGCCTGTTTCTTGGGCCTCGAATATCGCTTGAGCACTGAAGCTAGACGGCATGCTTATGGTGTTGATGCGTGAGAGGGCGTCTGTCACTGCGTTGTTTTCCCCGGGATTGTACACTATCTCCGTTAAGAATTGGGAGATAAAATCCAATTGGCGGAGTTGTCGAGGTGATGCTGTGCTTGCTTTCTGCCTGAAAGCGTATTGTAGTGGTTTATGGTCGGTTTGGATGATGAATGGACGACCCTCTAGAATGTGCTTAAAATGGATGATACCAGCGAAAATAGCCAGGAGCTCGCGATCATACGTGCTGTAGCCTTGCTCTGCCGGAGATAGTTTCCGCGAGAAAACCCCGATAAGACGCCAAACGTTTGCCGACTAGTTGTTCGAGAGCAGCACCGATCGCTTTATAGGAGGCGTCCGTATTAAGGGCGAGGTGAGCCGATGGATGGGAAAGGAACGAAGAGCGCACGGCACGTAAAATTCCTTGCTTGCAGGCCCGGAATGCATTCTCCGCAGGCTATTTCGCGCTAGTCATTTTTGGTTGCGCCTTTTAGGTAGTCTGTGAGCGGGATTTGAGCCTGAGCTGCGCAATTCCATGATAGTTTGAGGCTTGGGAAAATTGTTGATTGCATGCGTGCTCTCAACAGGGGGCTTGAATCCGCTCGCGTTGACTTGGAACCCTAAGAAAATTACCTCACTTTTACCAAATTGGCACTTTTGAGGGTTAATTTGGAGTTGGTTCCTCTGCAAAATCTCAAAGATTGTCTGGAGGCGCCTCAAACGCTTCTCATGCGTTGTGGAGAACACGATGATGTCGTCCATATAGCACCCTAAGAATGCCACGAAGCAGGTTGTCCATGTGGCGCTGGAAGGTTTGCGCTGCATTGCGCAGTCCGGGTGGCATGCCGACGAACTCGAAAAAGCCGAACGGTGTAGTGACTGCTATTTTCGGAATATCATCTGGCGCGACTGGGATCTGGTGGGAGGCACGCACCAAATCGATTGTGGAGAAAACCGAGCATCCATGCAGACGTTGAAGAATGTCTTCCCCATGGGGAATCGGGTAGCGATCTGGAATAGTGGAAGCATTAAGTTTGCGATAATCACCAGTAGTGCGCCATTCGATGCTCTTCTTGGGGACCAAATGAATAGGACTGGCCTATTGGCTGCTGGAGGGACGAATCACTCCTTGCTGGAGTAATAGATCGAAATCCCGGCGTGCCGCTTTTAATTTTTTGCCTGTAAGCCGTCTTGGCTTGTCAAAAACAGGTGGGCGAGTTGTTTGAATGTAATGCGCAACCTCATTATGAACAAAGCGACGAAGAAGATTGGAATACGTGCGATCTATTCCACTGGAACTTTGCACGCTGATTGTAGAAACGTTGTAGAGTTTTGCTTCTTCAACTTCTCCTTTGGTCGAAACAGCTTTTGAGGGATCTATAAGGCGTTTACCCTTGAGGTCGAGGATGAGGCGTTGTGCGTGAGGAAATCTGCTCCGATGATTGCTGATTGGAAGTTCGCAAAGACGAACGATCAGGTGAACTTACGCCGTAGGTTGAGACCAAAAGTTAGATTTAGCGTGCCGTAGGTATCAATTATTGACGTGTTGGCCGCGTAGAGTTTGAAGTCGTCTTTGCGACGATGCATTCCCTTGATTATCGAACCAGGTATGAGTGAGATGACTGATCCGGAATCGATAAGGAATTTTACGTTGGTATTACGATCGATTATGTGAAGTCGGTACTCCTTTGAGGGGCGAGTGCTTGGAGATCAGCTGTCACCAGTCGCCTGAACAGATGACAGCTTTTTTAGTTTCCCTGCTGTGACACCCAGGCACAGGGCGAGGAGCATTTTTGTGCATTAGATCCGAATTTGGCATGATAAAAGCAGACACGTGGTGCTCGGAGTTGCTGCTTGTTGCGATCGGCTGGGCGAGAATGGCTGGGAGGCTGCATGTTCTGCAGAAGAGTTAAAGAGGCCTTGATGGCAGCGATGTCGCGATTCAAGTCGTCCATGACACTTGTGCCAGCTGCCGGCGCGTATTCGCGGGTGTGGCCTCTGAATTGTGCCGAGGAGGACCCAACAGCCATGACAAAAGAACCCGATTCCTCTTCCATGAGATTGTCAGCGAGTGCAGTTTGCGCATCCAGGAGCGTAGGAGCTTCAAGCCCCGTTGAACGTGCTGCGGTAGCAGGCTCTCTCAGCGGACTCGCAAGGCGTCTGCAGACGCGCGACCATCAGCAAGAGTTGTCGTTTGCCGAAGGAGCTGCGAGGGCTTCTTGTCCCTAAGGTCAAGCTCCAGTAAAGCGCGCTGCAACTGTCTGTCCGGTGATTCCGTAAATCGCTTGATGATAATCTCCTTCAGGTGCTCGTATTTGTTGACTTCCGAGGGTTGCTCCAGAAAATCAGATACTTAAGTCATTATATCAGCATCCAAAGCACTGATTAAATGGTAGTAGCCCGTGCTATCTGAAGAAATGCGGCTGCATTGAAATTGCGCTTCGATCTGCACAAACCATAACCGCGCATTTTGCTTCCAAAATGGCGCCAAACGAACCGACGACAGGGAAAACGGTGCCTGAGTTATCGGTGACGGCACAGTTATGCCTTCACCTCCCCTGAAACCTCCCAGAACAGCAACCTATATACGGAACAATCAACCCGGACGGATTTCAAATTATTACATTCAATTATACATTCAACACTCGCACGACTTAACTAGCGCAGCCGGAAAAGAAACCTAAAGGATATCCAGAGCATCCAAAAGAAGACAGATATGAAAATCACCGGAATATTAATAATTATTATACTGTAATGCAGGTAAGCAGCCGGCCAAGTGACTTCAATAAGTGAGTGCAAATATAAAACAAGAAAAGAAACGAAATTAAAAATAATGCAGTGCACCCAAACGAATTGTAAATTCCGTGCGGTTAAAAGAAAAAGAAACCGACTCCAAAACATACATAAATACCTTTATACACAAGAGCAACTATGCAAAATCAACAAATAACGGTGTGCGGAAGCAAAATAAACGGCACTAACAATTGTGCATTACACACGCAAATCTAAAAGCATATTAGTAAATATATATTAATCAATCGCTGAAGACCGTTAATGCATCGCGCATTAAAATATATAGACGCTAATATACGGTGGAACAAAGAAAACAAAAAGAAATTAAGCAATTAGGGAAAAAACTGAATACCATAAAAAAAAATAAAATATATATATATACATATTTAGGCAGCCATCAATCGCTGATCGCCGCTAATTCATCGCGCATTAAAATATGTAAACACTAAATATGCAATGAAACGAATATACTATTAAACTCCAAAAATTACAATTAAAATTTCGTACTACCGAACTAAACATATTTTTAGCAGCAATCAATCGCTGATTGCCGCTACATAATGCATCGCGCAATTAAAATATGTAAACGCCTAATATGTGCCGCAATAAAAAAAATAAATAATTTTGCATATTACACAAAAAAAAAATTATGCAAACATATTTAGGCGGCATCAATCGCTGATAGCCGCTCTTGCATCGTGCATAAATATCTGAATATAGCCACACTGAAAAAAAAGGGAAAACATAACGAAACCAATGTGCCACAACTTAACATAATTAATGCATATGTGTATATAAGTGCGGTGTATATAAGGGGAAACCGGCACCGACAGCAGTTCGTAGGGAGGCCACTTGAGTTTGTTTATGTGGGCGTACATACTTGCATGCACGCCGCAGCTTCCGGCCGCTACATTGTAGACGGTGTCGCATAACAACATAAACTGTACTCAGTAAAATCGACAAGACGACCGCCGCGGAGTCGGATACTTTTGCGCATCGGATCATAAAAGAAAAAATATACAAATAATCAAATCTTATGGCTGCACAATGTACACTGGAAAACACTTAAAATAAGCATTGTATTGAAACCACTTGGCCCGGCGGCTTTAAAAGTTACATTTTCTTGATGATATAGACACAAATTAATAATATCAACGAATCTGTTAGGATCAAACCGATACATATTCCACTCCACATCCCACATTCTACTAACGATAAGTACAAGCAAATCGACAAATAAAAATTAAAGAAAAGGAAATTAAAAAAAAAATATATATATATATATATAGAAAAATACCCTTCCCTAGAAATATACCCTACATTTGTATATCACAAATATATATTTTAAATATTTTACCTATATTTATAATTTGAAGACCTAAAATTATATATAAAAGTCCCACGGATTCTCAATATTTCATATATATATTTTTTTACCAATTTTAAGTATTTTATTACACTGATATACCCTTATTTTTCAAAATTTTACTTATATATTTTTGCCAATTCGCAACATTTATTATAACATATATAACATATACAACATTATATAACATACCCATATTCTCAATATTTCACATATATACATTTTACCAATTCTTAAAAATTTATACACATACTCACCCCTATATCCTAAGAATTTCTGGAAAACTTAGAGAGTAAAAGAAAAAAATGTTCAAACAATCTAACTTGCAAATGTCCAAAAAGACAATTGTGGATAAGACAAAGTCTAGGCTAGGCCTTAGAAGCAGTAGTAGTCTACCCGAGATAAGGGAAGAAGAGGTCATAATCATGGATTCGGGAAACGCGTCCGGGGGTTCCAGGACTACGAGCCCGTCACCCCATGCAATTAACATGCTAGTACTCTGATGAATACCTCCATGAATACCTCGATAAATATATTATGACACTGAACCCACAGGATATTCTGGCATTCGTAAAGCAATTGCCGACTTTCGACGGGGCCCCGGGGACCCTTCAAAAATTCATAGTGAGCGTAGAAGAAGGGATTATGTTAATTAGAGGAACCGACCAAACGCCATACGGTCGATTATTACTACGTACTCTAAGAAATAAAATAGTAGGGAAGGCAGACGAAACCTTGAACATGC